CTAAGCCACCCGGGTGGTGCCAGCTCCTCCCTACCGTCCTCTGTCCGTCGGGGGTGGGTTTGCCCTTGGCTGTGACGTCCTAGAGGACAGAGAGTCTGAGCTGGAGTACTGGGCAGCCGCTTCTCCCTCTGTGTATGCCATGCTGCTCTCCCCTGAGGGAGACACTGACGCCCTTGACATACCGACTCCTCGCACTTACCGCGAGGCAGTGTCAGGGGCGTGGGCCTCTCAGTGGAAAGCGGCTATGGACTCAGAGTTGGCGTCTTGGAGATCCACAGGCACCTACGTCGACGCAGTTCCCCCTCCCAGGGCGAACGTAGTCGATGGCATGTGGCTCTTCAAGGTGAAGCGGCCGCCTGGAGCACCGCCGGTGTTCAAGGCGCGCTACGTGGCTAGGGGCTCCAGTCAGCATGAGGGAGTTGACTTCTTCTAGACCTTCGCCCCGACCCCGAAGATGACTACTCTTCGGGTGTTACTCCATATAGCAGCGCTGCGAGACTACGAGCTGCACTCCCTCGACTTCTCCACTGCGTTCCTCCAGGGCCGACTGCACGAGGAGATCTGGCTGCGCCGTCCTCCTGGCTTCACTGACACCTTCCCACCTGGGACCCTGTGGAGCCTGAGGCGACCAGTCTACGGTCTCCGCCAGTCGCCCCGTGAGTGGCACGACACTCTTCGCTCCACGCTTCGTGACCTTAAGTTCAGCCCGTCCTCCGCAGACCCGTCGCTGTTTGTTCGAGCGGGTTCTACTCCGTTCTTTATCCTTGTCTACGTCGACGACTTGGTGTTTGTTACAGCTGACAGGGCAGCCCTGGCTCAGGTGAAGTCCGAACTGCAGAAGGGACACAAGTGTAATGACCTGGGTGAGCTGCAGCACTACCTTGGCCTGTAGATCACCCGGGACAGAGCCGCTCGCACCATCACACTGACGCAGTCATACATGGTGCAGCAGGTCCTTCGGCGGTTCGACTTCCAGTTCTCCACCACACAGCCCACTCCTCTTGCTGTTGACCACAGACTCACGGGCCCCTTTCCTGACGAGCCCTTCGAGTCCAGTGGACCCTACGCAGAGCTGGTGGGCTGCCTCATGTACCTGATGACTTGTACTCGACCGGACCTCGCCTTTCCCCTCAGCATCCTTTCTCGCTTTGTTGCGACTGGGAGACACCGACCTGTCCACTGGACAGCTGCTGTGAGAGTGGCGAAGTACCTGGCGACTACATCAGGCATGGGGCTTGTGCTTGGAGGGACTCAGCCAGTGGCGTTGACTGGTCACTGCGACTCTTCCTACGCTGACGACGTGGAGACTCGGCGCTCGACTCAGGGTTACTGCTTCAGTCTGGGAGCTGGTGCTGTGTCATGGAGGTCTACACGGTCGTCGTGTGTGGCTACTTCCAGTGCAGAGGCAGAGATCTACGCTGGTGCCATGGCGGCACAGAAGCTTCGCTGGTTGACCTTCTTGCTCGCCGACCTTGGTGAGCGGCCTTGCTCTGCACCGACCTTGTACGCTGACAACAAGGCCATGATCCTCCTGTGTCGAGAGCCTCGACTGGAGAGCAGAGTGAAGCATATTGACGTGAGGTACTTCCTCTTGCGAGAGCTGCAGCGACGTGGCCAGGCACGCCTGGACTTTGTGGCCTCAGAGGCCAACACTGCAAACGTCTTCACCAAGGCCTTGGCGCTTGGTGATCACCACAGGTTCTATGTGCAGTTGGGGCTTGTTGAGGTAGGCCCTCGGTTGCTGTAGTCTTGTTGTTTGCTCTGCTTGTTGTGCTTCCTATTTATATCCTAGTGAACTCTTGAACTGGCCTTGTGGCCGCTTGCTTGCGCTCGGAATTTGTGTGGTGTCCTTGAGATCCACCCTGCTTGCTTTGATGCCCCTCACTTAGCCTATGGGGGTGTGTCAAATGTAATTCTATGCTTGTAGGCTATAATGAGTAGCACAATAGGGAGTACAATTGTTAGGGTTGCATATTTGTACTTCCACACTCCCTAAATTGAGCATTCCGTTGCATTCCTATTCTAAGAGTGATTTCAACTTCGCCAGCTTGGAATCGGGAAGTCGAAACTTGACTAAACCGTTTGAAGAATGAGAGACGTGTGTGGAGGGAAATTACCTCCAGCCCACGTTTTGTACTCCAAAACGGGCGTTTAGCGCAGTTCGCTGATGACCATTGCTACATTACAAGCCGCTTCGCTTTCAACATACACAATTTTGAAAAGCGTTACAGCTTTTAAAAATATTCATGTGTCCTGCGCCTCCGTTATTTGTACAGAACCAATGCAAACAGAGCGCGTGGATTTAGAGGTGTTAAACACCATTTTTGTTCTTAACCATTAGTGTTACAGCTCTTAGAGTGCAGCAACTCCAGTGGTAACCACGTGTGCTGTCGATCCATCAACGATAAGAAAATCCAGGGTCATGTGCTGATGAGAGAGGCATGCACACAGGGTCACAGGAATCAGGAGCGGCAGGGGTTAGATGGGTTCAAGAGGGGTTCAAGTGTAGTTTGTGAGGAACTAGTGGGGTGAATGTAAGTGGTTGTGTGGAGCGATAAAATATTGATGAGACAACTTGTTGAATAAAAATACTAAAAAAAGAAGAAGCACCAGCTGAGTAGACTTGACGGCACTCTCGTCTTTGTTGTCATGCTGAGTGGACTGGGCAGCACTCTCACCTTTGTCTTCTTGATGAGGACCCCGGGCGGCACACTGACGTTACCACTGGTATCACAGTACCTGTGAAGAAGAGCCATGCATGCATGGCCAGACGGACGGACGGATGGATGGACGGACGGACGGACGGATGGATGGACGGACGGACGGACGGACGGATGGATGGATGGATGGACGGACGGACGGACGGACGGATGGATGGATGGATGGACGGACGGACGGACGGACAGACGGATGGATGGATGGACGGACGGACGGACGGACGGACGGATGGATGGACGGACGGATGGATTTATGGATGGATGGAGGGAGGAGGGGCTGTAATCAATGAGTGGGTGTGATGTGAAAGTGTGACAGGGAGGTTAATCGAGGTGAAGAATGTGAACACGAGCATCGTTGGTGAACACGAGCATCGGTGGTGAACACGTGCAACCACGTTGCCAACACGCATGAGGGGAAGGAAAGAAACTTGGTAGGTAAATAGGAGGCACAAGCAACATTGAAGCATAACAAAAGTTTCCATGTAACCAGAACATGTGTGATAGAATGGGCTGAAGAGGCCTGGAATGCAAACGGGGAAAGTCAACAGCTTTTGAGGCGCCTAATAAGGGCAGGTCATTGGAGGTTAGACGATGGGGATCGAGGTGAATGAATGAGCTCGGACTGAAAGAATGGAGTTTGAGAGAATGGGGTCTGAGTCAATTCGACTTGAGCGATATCAATGGGATGATTGATGGGATTTGGAGGCCCACTTCGTGAGCTTGAGTTGCTTCAGAGCCGTCCTAATGTCCTCTGGTTGTATTGCCGTGCGCTTGGATAGACTCTGATGGAAGAAGGTGGGGGGGGGGGGGAAGACAGGTGCAGGGACTTAAGAGCGAGGGAACACACAAGATGGGGGGCTTCAGGGCCCTTGTTCCTTTGAGTCGACTCAAAAGCACAAGATGGGGGGCTTCAGGGCCCTTGTTCCTTTGAGTCGACTCAAAAGCACAAGATGGGGGGCTTCAGGGCCCTTGTTCCTTTGAGTCGACTCAAAAGCACAAGATGGGGGGCTTCAGGGCCCTTGTTCCTTTGAGTCGACTCAAAAGCACAAGATGGGGGGCTTCAGGGCCCTTGTTCCTTTGAGTCGACTCAAAAGCACAAGATGGGGGGCTTCAGGGCCCTTGTTCCTTTGAGTCGACTCAAAAGCACAAGATGGGGGGCTTCAGGGCCCTTGTTCCTTTGAGTCGACTCAAAAGCACAAGATGGGGGGCTTCAGGGCCCTTGTTCCTTTGAGTCGACTCAAAAGCACAAGATGGGGGGCTTCAGGGCCCTTGTTCCTTTGAGTCGACTCAAAAGCACAAGATGGGGGGCTTCAGGGCCCTTGTTCCTTTGAGTCGACTCAAAAGCACAAGATGGGGGGCTTCAGGGCCCTTGTTCCTTTGAGTCGACTGGTTGTGTTGCCGTGCGCTTTGATAGACTCTGATGGTGGAAGAAGAGGGGGGAACACAAGTGTGGGGAAAGGGAATAAGGAAGCGGACACGTGAGAGAGAGTGGATGATTTGGGGGAAAGGGGATGAGTAGTTAGAGGGGGGAGGCACTCGTGCGGATAATGCAGGAGGGGGCGGGAAGAGGGTAAGTGAAGGGAGCATAGGCCATTGAGTCAATTGAAATGATGAGAACGTGATGGGCACAGGGTACTTGTGATGGGATGGGATGACTTTTGAGTCGACTCAGAAGTCACCTTGAGTCGACTCAAAAGTCACCTTGGGTACTCATGATGGGATGGGATGAGCACTCAGTTGGAGTGTGACTGTGAGACAGCGGGGATGCGGTGTGCAGTGCATTCTTTGGCGTGTCTCAACAGTTGTATCAGACAGCAGGCATGGAGGGATGTGCGCTAATGGGAGTGATGGGAGATGTGTAGGGAATGAGGAGTGAGGGAGGAGGGAGGACGGAGAGGAGAGAGATGGGTGAGGGGAGAGCAGGGGGGAGGGAGAAAGACAATGGGTAAGGTAAGAGGCCATACATCAATGCTGCAGTTTCCTTGAAGCTTCTTCAGAGAGCGCAGCAGCTGCCAGCGCCAGTAGCTTCTGAAGGCCACCTGGAAGGGAGAGGGGGAGTGGGCGGGGGGAGGAGGAGGTGGAGCAGGGGAGGTGGGGAGTGACCTTTGAGGCGACTCAAAATAGAGCAGCAGCTGCCAGGACCAGTAGCTTCTGAAGGCCACCTGAAAGGGAGAGGGGGAGTGGGCGGGTGGGGGAGGTAGAGGGGAGAACAGTGGGAAGGTAGGGGAAGGGGGAGAGAGGTTACTTGAGGCGCTTGCTCACAGCAGCTGCCAGGACTAGTAGCTACTGAAGGCCACCTGGAAGGGAGAGGGGGAGTGGGCGGGTGGGCATGGTACAGGGGAGAACAGTGGGAGGAAGTGGGGGGGTTAGGGGAAGGAGGAGGGGGGATACTTGAGGCAGCTGCCAACAACAGCTGCCAGAGCCAGTAGTTCTGAGGGCCACCTGAAGCGGTGTGGGGGAGGTTAGGATTGGGGAAGGTGGAGAGTGGGGGGAGGTTAGGTTTGGGGAAGGTGGAGAGAGGGGGAGGTTAGGATTGGGGAAGTGGGAGAGGTAGGGTGGGGAGTGGGGGCGGTTGGGAGAGGGGACGGTGGGGAGTGGGGTAGGTGGGGACTGGCTGAGGTGAGGAGTGGGGGAGGTGGGGAATGCGGAGGTATGGAGTTGGGGTGTTGGGGAGGAGGGGAGTTGGGGAGGTGGGGAGTGGGGGAGGTGAGAAGTGGGGGACTTTAAACAAGAGTGAAAAGAAACCAATCAATCCACAATCCCACCAACTCAGGAACTCTCGGACTTCCCAACCCACCCCAGCAGCCCCCCATGCACTCACAGTGCCCAGGTCAGAGAGGGGGGGCTTGGGCACCAGAAGCTGCTGACGGGCTGCTGTCATGTCATAGGCTGAAAAGGGTGGGGCATGCATGGATAGTGGAAGGGGAGTTTGAGACGTAAACATGCTGGGGACAAGAGTGACTTGCTGAGTCGGCTCAGAAAGTTGCAGCCTTTTGATAGGCTGAAAGGGCACGGCACGAATAGTGGGACGTGTAGAAAAGTTGGACACTGGATGGTATGGTGGGAGCTGCTAACACGAGACACATGGGCTGCAAGAACGTAACCAATAGGCAGGCTTCTCACTATTTGAGAGGAGATATTGGCTATATAGCGCTAGATACTTTCCATCATACATGGTTAAAAGAAAAGAAAAGAAAAGAAAAGAAAGGAAAAGAGATAAGAGAAAAGAAACAAAATGACTCATTTCTGGGGGACTGGTAGCGCAGGTTCCTCACCGACTGAGAGGAGCCATCGGCCAAACCCCCGTCGCTGGAAGGGAGGCAGCACAACGACACTGGAGAGGTGCACCTCCGCGGGTGGTGTTGGCGATGGTGGCAATGGCGATGGCGAGCTGTGAAGTGCCTCATGTGGCAATGGCTGTGCCGCCGCCAACCCTCCTCCTGTGTCCCCTGCTGTGTTGGCTGCTGTTGTGCACGTCTCATCCCGCCTGTGTGAATCACTTGGCCCTTGAGGAGCCTTAGGCGTCGCTTTTTCCTCTGCTTCACGCCTGTGTGGTTCGGCCGGCTTCTGCATTACCTCAAGAGTCGCCTCAACTTCCACCCTGTGTGAACTACCCAGCTTTTGAGCCGCATTAGGTGCCGCCTCTGCCTTTGCTTCGAGCCTGTGTGGATCGACCGTCTCAGTGCCAGCTGCTAGAGAGTCATGCTTGGGTGGTGGGCTGGCAGGAGGGGAAGACTCCTGCAATCAGGGGACGGGGCAGGAGAAGGAGAAGGGGAAGGGGAAGGGGAAGGGGAGCGGGAAAGGGAATGGGAACGGGACGGGAAAGGGGAAAGGGGAGGGGAAGGTGAAGGTGAAGGGGAAGGGTAAGGGGAAGGTGAATGGGAAGAGGAAGGGGAAGAAGAGACAGTGGATAAACTATCAGACTTTTGAGTCGACTCAAAAGAATTCTCAAAAGTGATTTCGATATAGCAGGGGAAGAAGAGGCAGTGGATAACTATCAGATATGATGGCATGATGCGAGTGCTCGCCATTGGTTCAGATAGAGTTGAAGGCAATAGAGTGCTCATTGTCAGCATTGGTATTCTTATCGATGAAAGCAGAAGCGCTATGATCCTTACAATGGCAAAGTAGCCAATGAGAGTGTGCCAAGTGTCAGAACCCCTTGTGAGAACGTAGAAGGTGTGACCCTCAACGGTGTACACCCGCGGCTTGTGCTCCAGAAAGAGCTTGCCCAGGAGGGACAGGCACTGAGGGGGATAAGGAGAAGGAAGAGAGGAGGATAAGTATGAAAGGGGATGCTGTAATGGTTAACCATGTACCATGTGCCCCTCTACCATGTACCATGTGCCCCTCTACCATGTACCATGTGCCCCTCTACCATGTACCATGTGCCCCTCTACCATGTACCATGTGCCCCTCTACCATGTGCCCCTCTACCATGTGCCCCTCTACCATGTGCCCCTCTACCATGTACACCCGTGGCTTGTGCTCCAGAAAGAGCTTGCCCAGTAGGGAGAGGCACTGCAGACAAGGGGTAAGAAGGTGTGGTGAAGGGTCCCTTTAATCATTCCCCTTCCCATAATCCCCCATATACCCTCCCACTCCCACATCTACCCCCCCATATTTCCCTTTCCCCATATTCACCTGCCAGTACAGCTTTGGATGGGTTGGATCAACCCTGAACACATGCAGCCTGTGCCCCCTCCCTCTCCACCACCATCTCTTCCCCTTGTGAACTTCCCTGTCCACTGCACCGCACCCACACTTCACTCACCTGGCAGTACAGCTTTGCATGAGCTGGATCCACCCTGAACACATGCAGCATGCCGCTGCCACCACTGCCACCACCACATGCAGCAGATTTCCCCTCCCCACTTCACCTGTCTTGGTTCACCTGGCAGTACAGCTTTGCATGAGCTGGATCCACCCTGAACACATGCAGCATGCCGCTGCCACCTCCACCGCCACCATCACCACCACTACCACTGCCACCGGTTTCCTTTCCTCCTCCTTCCTCTGCCTTGCTAACCCCTCCTTCCTCCCTTCCTCCATCACCCCGCCTCTCTGCATCCTTCCGTCCTCCAACTGACCCCCCCCTCTCCTGCCCCTGCGCCTCACCCTTGACCTCACTTCCCTCCCCACCTTCTCCCACCCCACCTTCTCCCACCCCACCTTCTCCCACCCCTCCTTCTCCCACCCCACCTTCTCCCTTCCTACTTCCTTCCTTCCCACTTCCATCCCTCCCAGCCTCTCCCTTCACACCCTCTCCCTTCCCTCCCTCTCCCTCCTGTTTCCGCGCACTGCCCTTCCTGTCCACGTCAGCATCCCTGGCAGACACACTGTTGCCCATGCCAGCCACGTCAGCAGGGCCCCTTTCCAGGTCAGCATCCTTGGCATCCGAACCAGTAGCAGCAGGGGCAGCAGCAGCATCAGAACCAGAAGTTCCATCATCCCCTCCTCCCACTCCCACGCCCCCCCCTGGTACTCTAAATTGCAGCCCCGCAAACGCTTCTGCTGCAGCAGCTGTTTCCGTCCCTGTAGCTGCCGTCCCTGTCTCACTCCCCTCCCTTCTCCCTCCTCCCCCTCCTCTTCCCCCTCCTCCCATCCCCACACCTACGACTGCTGCATGTCCTGCTGCTGCCGCAGCTGCGACAGCAGCAGCAGCTGCCGAAGCAGCCAAATTGCCATCCACCCGAGCACTACCAGCAGCAACACCCTCCCCAGCAGCAACCACCACACCTCCACATGCCTCTGAACCTTCCCCACGCCCATCTCCACCGCTCCCGCCTTCCCGTTCGGCCATCGGTTTGCACTCTTGTATGCCTTCGCCCCTCTCACATGCGCCTGCTGCATGGAAAGGCATGACAGGAAGCATGTATTGTTCAGGCGCCTCAAAAACAGACCCATCACACTACGCTTCTGCTGCAGGGGCAAGTGTGGCAGCAGGGGCAGGCACAGCAGGCAGCAAGAGAAAGCGTGACTGCAGGAGGGTTACATGGAGGACGAATGGGGTTACCAGCAGCAGGCTCACAGGCAGGAGGAAGTGCAGCGGTGGGGCCAGTAGGGGCAGGAGGGACGAGCCTGGCACGGTAAACCTCCTCTCCTGGCGGGATGACCTGCTGACACTTGGCCTGCTTGGTTCATTCGATTGGGATTTAAGAGACAGGACAGGGAATGCACTCAAAGGGAGCCTGGAATTCTGGGTATGAGGTTTTGGTTTAATCTTCAGCAGAGATTGCAGTCCGGGGTTTCGGGGTTTCGGGGTTTAGGGGTTTCCACTCACCATGTGTCGCTCGTAGGCGGTGGGAGTGCTGGAGTACTTGAGACAAGCGTCACATATGAAGAGACGACCCGTGCTGGTGAGAATGGGGCTTCGGGCTTAGGAATAAGTGTGAAGGGTTTAAGGGTCACGGCGAATTAATATTTGGGGTCTTAGGTTTCCACTCACCAGGTGTAGCTTGTATGTTGTGGGAGTGGTGGAGTACTTGAGGCAGGCGTCACAGATGAATGAAGAGACGTGCAGGTGGTACGGCTAGGGTTTCAGGTCTTGGGTTTCAACTCACCAGGTGTCGCTCGTAGGCGGTGGGAGTGGTGGAGTCCTTGAGGCAGGCGTCACAGATGAAGAGAGGACCCGTGTTGGTGAGGATTGGGTTTTGCGTTGAGGAATCAGGGTGAAGGGTTCAAGGCTCAAGGTCTCAAAGTTTGAGGTTCTAGGTTTTGACTCACCAGATGTCGCTCGTAGGCGGTGGGAGTGGTGGAGTACTTGAGGCAGGCGTCACAGATGAAGAGAGGACCCGTGTTGGTTAGGTGCGGTGGATATGGGGAAAAGTACCTGCCAAAAGTTGCAACAATCGATGTAACAATTGCTGAAACAATTGATGTAACAGCTGACAGCTTCATATCAAAACAGCAACATTATGGAGCTTGCTGAGAGACCAGACAGACGGTGTCACTCTCGAGTGCCCACCTTCCCACCTTCTCGCTCCTTCTGCACTCACCACGTGTCACTCTCATGGTCACCATCCTCAACCTCCCCACATTCCTCACATGCATATGCCTATCAATGGAGCTGCACCCTCACCCCAACCAACCTCTCCCCCTGCCCACCTCCCCGCCGCCTCACCCCTATCTATCCCACACTCACCACGAGACAATCTCATGGTCACCGCATCTGCCGCTCCAATGCAGCTGCATCCTTACCTGCCTCCCAGCCAGCCACCCCTGCCTGCAGACCTCCCCGCCCTCACACCCCAACCTATCCCAAACTCACCACGAGTCAATCTCATGGCCATCAATTTCCACCGTCTCAACATTCCTCACTCGCATCGCATCTGCCATTCCAACACAGCTGCATCCTCAACCACACTCTACCCCTCTCACCCCTATTCCACCGCACTCACCAAGTGTCAATCTCATGGTCTCCAATCTCCACCGTCTAAACATTGTCACTCACTCGCATCTGCCATTTCAGTGGAGCTGCACTTTTACCAACCCCCCAACCAGCCCCCCAACCAGCCCCCCAACCAGCCCCCCAACCAGCCCCCCAACCAGCCCCCAACCAGCCCCCCAACCAGCCCCCAACCAGACCCCCAACCAGACCCCCAACCAGACCCCCAACCAGACCCCCAACCAGACCCTCAACCAGACCCCCAACCAGCCCCCCAACCAGACCCCCAACCAGACCCCCAACCAGACCCCCAACCAGACCCCCAACCAGACCCCCAACCAGACCCCCAACCAGACCCCCAACCAGACCCCCAACCTTCCCCCCAACCTTCCCCCCAACCAGCCCCCCAACCAGCCCCCCAACCAGCCCCCCAACCAGCCCCCCAACCAGCCCCCCAACCAGACCCCAACCAGCCTCCCCATATGCTAGCCTTCCCTCCATCAACCCCCCAAACCACACTCACCACGTGTCAATCTCATGGTCACCGATCTCCACCGTCTCAAAATTCTTCACTCGCATCTGCCGCTCCCACGCAGCCGCATCCTCCCCTACCTCCCCACCACCAGCCCCCTTCACCCCTCCTTCGCCTCCCTTATTTGCTGCTGCTCCATCGACATTCCTGCCCCCCCTTCCCGACTCTACACCTACACCAGCAGCAGCAGTAGCAGCAGCAGCAGCAGAGCCGGGTTCCCCTTTCACCCCTGAAGCAGCCCTGGTGTCAAGCTTTTGACCCGCCTGGAGTGTCCCTACTTGCAGGCCTGGATCAGCAGGAGCGTCAGGATTGTCTAGGCGTCTCCTCTTGGGTCCTTTCAGAATCAACAACAGCCATAGAATCAGGAGAGCATGCTTCAACGAATGGGGGCCCAGAGTAGTCTATTCTTAAGGCGCCCCCAAAATAGGAACTAAAAACACTTAGGAGCACAATAATCTTGAACAAACCATCGCATGGCAGCATAACTTGCAGCACAAGTGCTTACATGCAGTCTTTTGAAAGTAAAAAGAAGAGGCAAGAAAAGCGCTGTCTCACCATCTGCAGCAGGGGAGTGGGCCTCTGTGTCCACGTCAGCAGCCAGCTCAGCCCGCCTCTTGACATCCACGTCAGCATGCCCTTGACCGTGGCTTCGGATAAGCTCATCATGCTCATGCTCATTCTTGTGGCTGTGGTTGTAGGGATGCTCACGAACATGGCCATGCACATGATGATCAGGCTTCAAGTCTTGATCATGCTTTAAATCATGATCATATTTTAGGTCATCATGATAGCTATGGTCGTGCCCATGCACATGTCCATGCACATGCCCATGCACATGGTCATGCCCATACCCATGGTCATGCTCATGCTCATCCTCATGGGCATCCATGGTGGTCCATGGTTCCACTCGGCTCTCCCCCACCCACTCGTCCAGCCGCTTGTTGTCTGTATGCCTTGCAGGGCGGCACGGGGTAGGGAATGGAGGAGGAGCGAAAGCATGGAAAAGATAAGTTGAAGATTAGGAATATTCAGGTGCGAAGGAAATACACACTCGGCTCTCCCCCACCCACTAGTCCAGTTGCTTGTTGTCTGCCTCCCTTGCAAGGCGGCATGGGGACATGGAAGAGGGGGGGGAGCGGAAAAGTGACCAAGATAAGCTGGGGCTTGCGAAAGTTCAAAGGCAGGAAAAACGACCACTGGGTGGTCTCCCTCCCCACCCACGCGTGGCTCGTCCAGACGGCTTCTGCCAGCACCAGTAGTATCAGTTACTCTACTGCTCGCAGAAGTCACATTTCACACACAGAGTGTATACAGTGCTCTTTAAACAGTATACAACAGTATAAAAAAAGAGAGAAATGTATAGTATTAGTGCTCACATTCTACGTAGTGTATATAGTACTCCACTGAAGAAGCATCTATGAGCTCAACTCCTTTGTTCGCATGCGCCGCTCCTGCTGCTTCCGAACCTGGTGCCGAACCAGCCCCTTTGCCATCCCTATCAGCAGCACGTCTGGTGGTTACCACCTCTCCAGCGTCTGCAAGGAGAAAGAGGGAGGGTAATCAGCTTGAGATGGGTAGTAATAAAAGCACTGTACTGTTACGCCAATGATTGAGTTTGCTATTTTTCCCTGCTCCTGACTCAGCATAAAACAATCAGCATTTTTCATCACCCACAGTAGCGATTATAGCCCAAAAGAATAAAACAATCAAATAAATAAAAAATACAAGAAAAATATGCTATTTCACTCACGGTAGAGGTTATCCCAGGAAGCGAGGCATGCCACTCGCGACCCCGCAGGGAGCACCGCTCGACGGCCGGATCCCATCTATACTTGATCTCCCAAACCACGGGCTCCGCTCCGTTCACAATAGCACCGCGCGACGGCTCGACGGGTCGACGGGTCGACCACGTCGTGGAGTCGAGTTCTCAATTACACCGCGCGACGGCAGCTCGCAATCTATCCCAGCCGTTGCTCGCAAAGATCACATCAGAATCGGCGGAGCCGATCCTAATTTCAATGTGGAGATTTTCTGGAGCCTCCTAGAATCTGAGTTACCAGTAGGCGACTGTTCCTTAGGAGGAAGGTGAAGTCCTTCGAATATACGACTGACACGACGGACATAACCCGTACGTTCCAGTTGTCTCTCTAACAAAGCGGGCACTGGAAACGAAAGCTGGAAAATATGTCGGCTCGCCGCTTTTATGACAATGACGAGTCTATAAGTATACTCTCGCGCAGTTCGAATGAAGGAGTACCGGAGCGCACGGCGAAGGAGGAGGTACATCAGTCTTCAGTGCTGCTGCTGCTACGAACAACACGAAATTCCCAAGGTGGCAGAAATATGGCAGCGGGAAAATGGCCTTCGGAGGGAATGTTGAGCTCGGAACCCCAGGAGGGTTTCTCAAAACAGGTTTGCAAATTACTAGCACTTGAAGTCAGTTTCAGAGTCGTTCTTGGTTCGTCGGAGTGATTTTCGGCCCGCGTTCGCGACATGTTTCAGTTGGCGTTTCTAGAACTCAAACTTAAAAACGGCACGCGATGGGTTTTCTCGAAACTGATCTGAAACTGTCAGCACGATGAAAACGGCCCCTATAAATCCTGTCTGACAAACAGTCGAGAGGCACGGGTAAGGTACTGTTACGTAGCGAGAATTGCACTACGGTGTCAAACGAGTACAAAATGTGAGATAAGGCATGAGCGAACATTTATACGCGAAACATGCAAACGGTAACGCGGTGCGTGCGAGCCAGCTAGTGCTATGCTGGAAGCGAGGCTCGGGCTAGTCCCGAAGCGTAGGCCGACGCGGCCAGGCCAGCAGTGCGAGGTTTGGTGAAACAGTGCGCGCGAAGTCGGCGAAGCCCCGTTAGCAGTAACGGGCGAACAACGGCTGCTGCTCTACGCGATGTTGCAGGGCGCGCTAAGGAATATCGATAAAATTCCTTACACTACCCCCCCCCCCCCCCCCTCCCCCCCCCCCCCCCCCCCTCAAGAAGCCCCCTCCGCTACGCGAGTGCGTGCATATCGCGGAAACCCCGGCTCCTCAGGTACACTTGCAGGGCAGGGTGGTTTTCGATGTTGGCCAGGGGCACCCAGCTATCTTCAGTTGGCGTGTGATCCTTCCAGCGAACGAGGAATTCAATCCTCCTGATTCCCGTGGGGTGTCGAATCCGATGGCTCAGGATTTTTTCGGGTTTGATGATCGGCTCCGATGCAGGGCGAGTCATGGATGGTGGGCGGTGGCGAGGCAATTGGCTTGTGGTTGGGATATATGGGCGAAGCAGGCTGACGTGGAACGAGGGGCTGATGTACCAGTCCGTCGGCAACAGTAGGTGAGCTGTCACTGGGGTAATCATGTGGCTGATTTGGAATGGTCCACAATAGCGGGGTCGTAATTTCGGTAGGACGGGCAGTCTTAAGTTCTGGTTGTCGAGCAATACGTAGTCTCCTGACTGGTACGTGGCTGGGCGGCGATGGCGGTCAGCGTTGCGCTTAGCGATGACATTGGCCTTTTTAATTGCTTGTGCGGCTCTGGTGCAGGCAGCTTGCAGAATTTCGGCGAATTGCTGTGCACGTAGTGTTGGGTTGTCCGGACTCGGCGCCATGGGCACTGTAGGATTTTGCCCGTAGTTCAGGTAGAAAGGGGACTGCTGCGTCGTCGCTGATGTGGCGTTGTTATATGCGAACTCAATCAGCGGCAGCTGCTGCTCCCAAGTGGTCGGGTCGTCGCACGTGGCACGAATCAACTGCTCCATTGTCTGATTCGTCCGCTCCGTTTGACCGTCAGTCTCGAGGTGGTACGACGAGCTGAACTGTAGCCTTCTCTCAAACTGCTCCCAGAAGTTTTTCCAGAAGTTGTTGGTAAACTTCGTGTCGCGGTCGCTGATTATTGCGGCTGGTATCCCGTGTAGTCGAACAACGGCTGCGATGAACAGGCGAGCGGTTTCTTTGGCTGAGACCGATTTCTTGCACGCATCGAAGTGTGCCATCTTCGTCAACCTGTCAACGACTGTCAAACTCATATGCTGTAGTCTGTGTAGGCTGTAGTGGGGTAGACAATATGGGGTACAACACTTTTAGGTTTTCCTACTTGTACCCACCTGCTTGCTAGTTCATTCATTCCTCATTTCTTCACATGGTATAGAGCCAGTTCCCTAGTGGGAACGCTTCCTAGGGCCCATTCTTGCGGCCCCGTCGCCGCCCTTCGCGGCCCCGTCGCCGCCCCTAGCGGCCCCGTCGCCGCCCTTCGCGGCCCCGTCGCCGCCCCTAGCGGCCCCGTCGCCGCCCTTCGCGGCCCCGTCGCCGCCCCTAGCGGCCCCGTCGCCGCCCTTCGCGGCCCCGTCGCCGCCCCTAGCGGCCCCGTCGCCGCCCTTCGCGGCCCCTCGCGGCCTCTTCTCGGCCCCGTCGCCGCCCTTCGTGGCCCCGTCGCCACCCTTCTCGGCCCCTCCTCGGCTTCTCCGCCACTAGCAGCAGCCGCCGCCAGCAGCAGCCGCCGCCGCCGCCGCCAGCAGCAGCCGACAGCAGCAGACGCCGCCGACAACAGCGGCGGCCACCACCAGCAGCAGCCGTCGCCGCCGACAGCAGCGACTGCCGCCGCCACTGACAGTAGGAGCTGCCGCCGCAGTCGCGGCTCTGTCCCTGCCGACGCGCCTCGGCCCTGCCCCACCGCTTGCGGGCCCCTACCTACTCGCCCTGGTGAGAGCACTGCCGAGCCACGCCTGCTACTGCTGCCCCTAGCCTGCTGCCACTGCTGTCATGGCTACCCCTAGTGTTCTAGTCTTTGATGCTAAGGGTTGGGCTGTTGACTTTAAGGTCTGGGTCGATGATCTACAGCTTTTCCTACAGTACGATAGGAAGGACAGTCTCTCCCTGTTCGATCTCACGTCTGGCGCCTCTACTGCCCGTGCTGCCGATGCTGACAGCACTGTTCGCTCCCAGTGGGCCACACGCGATGCTACTGCCCGTCTTGCTGTGCGTAGTCACTTGCCGTCCACTGAGCACGCGCACTTTAGTCGGTACAAGAGTGCTAAGATCTTGTACGATGCTGTAGTTGCACGCTACTCTTCCCCTGCCACTGCTGCCCTTAGCCGCCTCATGCTGCCGTACCTGTTTCCTGACCTCGCTGCCTTTCCCACTGTCGCTGACCTCGTTACGCACCTTCGCACTAGTGACACCCGCTACCGTGCTGCGCTTCCTGCTGAGTTCTGCGCCAAGAACCCCCCCCCCCCCCCCCAAGTATTTCACCCTCTATTACATGGTCACCCGGCTCCCTGACTCCCTTCGCTCAGTCAGGGACCACTTCCTCTCTGTTTGCCCCACAATACTCACCGTTGACCTCCTCGAGGAGCGCCTCCTGGCAGCTGAGAAGAGTATAGTCGCTGTAGGAGCCTCTCGTGGTGACCCTCGTGCCCCCGTCTTTGAGGGGTGCTCCCCCTCCCCCCTTTTGCCCTCTGTTGCCTCTGCTGCTGCCGTCGACTTCGTTAGCACCGAGTCGGTCGACGCTGCGTCTGCCCCTAGTGGGCGATGCCGCACCGGCAAGGGTAAGGGGGGTAAGGGTGTTGGTGGTGCTGGCGGGGGCGGTGGAGGTGGCGGTGGAGGAGGCGGAGGGAGTGGGGGTAGTGGTGGGAGTGGTGGCAGGGGTGGGGGCTTTGGTGGCGGCGGTGGAGGCGGAGGCGGCGGCGGCGGTGGCGGTGGGAGCGGAGAAGGAGGCGGTGGCGGCGGTGGCGGAGGTGGCGGCGGAGGAGGTGGAGCTAGTCGGGGTGGCTCTGCGCAGCGAGGCGGCTTCGGTGGTGGTCATCGCCAGCAGCAGCAGCGCACTTGTGAGACCCCACCCCCCCAGCAGCTTCGTGAGTGGTACTCTGCGCGTCAGCGGGGTGGGGGTGCTGGTCCTTGTGCCTATGTCCTGCGTACCGGCGACCGCAATGGTGAGACGTGCGGTGGCCCGCACACCACCCAGCGCTGCTTCGGCAGCCTGACGGACGCTTGGCGTCTCCAGTTCCCTGACGCCACTGAGATCCCCCGCTGGGGCGAGCTGCTTAGGTTGGGGGTTGCTATCTTTGATCTGGAATATGATGCTATTCTTGCTGCCATGTATGTTGTGTCTACTAGTGATGAGGGTGACTGTTACCTGTGTGTTCCGCCTGACCCGGGCATTGAGGCTGCTGCTCTAGGTGCTGGTGAGGCTGCTGCTCTAGGTGCTAGTGCGTCTGCTGCCCCAGGTGCTGGTGAGTCTGCTCTCTCAGGTACCACGTCGGCTCAGGCCTTACACACCTTCACCCTTGACTCGGGTGCTTCCCGCTCCATCTTTCGAGACCACACCACGCTTACGCCGCTTAGTCGGCCGGTTGCAATCTCCCTAACGGACCCCTCTGGGGGTCCTGTCCTTGCCCACTTCTCCACTGTCTTACCGTGTCCGGCAGCCCCCTCTGGCACCCTGTCAGGTCTCTACCTCCCCTCGTTCTCTACGGACTAGGTGAGTGGTGCTGATCTACAGGATGGGGGGGTTGACCAGTTCACTCCTGCGAGTCAGCGGGTGACCCACTGTACGTGTGCTCGGACGGGCCGACACTTGGCCACGTTTACCCGTCAGCCGGGGTCGAGCCTGTACACACTGACTACTGAGTCTTCTCCGGTTGCTGAGTCTGGTCAGGTAGCTGAGTCAAGTCAAGTGTTCGTACTGGCGGTCTACCCGCTCGTCTTCTGTTCTCGGCTCCAGCTGTGAGGCTGAGATCTGCGTGGGGGCCATGGCTGCACAGGAGCTACGCTGGCTCACCTACCTGCTGACTGACCTAGGAGAGCCGCCTCGTTCTCCTCCAGTTCTGTACGTAGACAACAAGGCCATGCTGGCCTTGTGTCGGGAGCACAGACTGGAGCACAGAACGAAGCACATTGCTCTTCGCTACTTCCTTGCTCGTGAGCTGCAGCAGCGTGGTCAGCTGCGCCTTGCTTACGTGGCCTATGAGGCCAACACTGCTGATATCTTTACCAAGACACTTCCGCCTTGTGATCATCAGTGCTTCTGTACGATGCTAGGTCTTGTGCCTACTTGGCCTCACTTGCTCACTTCTTGACCTTGCTTGTACTGTGATCTTTCTATACCTGCACTTGCTTGTTTACCTTTATATATGATCTTGCATGTGAACTGGCCTTGTGGCCTTGAACTTGTGCTCGGAATGTGTGGTGACGTTGTGATCCACCCTGAGCTTGCTTTGCTTTGCTTGACTGGTCTTGTGACCTCTTGTTCTCCCCCACTTTGCCTATGTAGGTGTGTCAAACTCATATGCTATAGTCTGTGTAGGCTGTAGTGGGGTAGACAATATGGGGTACAACACTTTTAGGTTTTCCTACTTGTACCCACCTGCTTGCTAGTTCATTCATTCCTCATTTCTTCACAACGACGACCATAACTGCATCGTTACCCCCAGGGTTTGAAGGTAACCCTGTGACGAAATCTATGGTAACCTACTGCCATGCGCGCTCAGGCGGTGGAATCGGCTGCAACTGACCTGCCTTTTTTTTTTTTCGCGAGCTCTTCATCATCTGACACGTAGGTTACGAGCCCACGTGTTGCTGTACGTCGGTCAACAGCTCCGGCCAATAGTAATACCGCTGCAGTTGCTGTCGCGTTTTTTCTACCCCGAAATGTCCCGAGGTAATCCTGTCGTGTGCCTCCTACAGTAACAGTTCCCTCAGTAGTGAGTACACAGGTACCCAGATGCGGTTGGTTCCTGTTTCTACGTAATAGACTCCTCTGGCCTGTGCCAGTTGCTGTAAATTTCCGGTCGTGAAAAATGGGTCGGTACTGTATTCGTGGGTGAATAGGCCTGTTAACAGTGGGTTGGTTTGGGCGAGTAGGATGGCGTGGAGTTGGGCGGTGGGGCGTGTGAGTGCGTCGACTATGTTGGATGCGCCTTTTTTGTATGTGACTGTGAAGTGGAAGTTGGACTCCGGATAGTCCAACCAGCAAATCTGTCGTGGGTTGAGATTCGGTTGGGCGCGAAGATACTGTAGAGATCGTTGGTCTGTCCGTACTGTCACGTCTTCTCCCGTGGAGTAACATCGCCACTCTTTGAACGCGTGCACGATCGCCAACGTCTCGCAGTCGTGTATCGGGTAGTTGCGTTCAGGCGGGTGAAGCTTGCGGGACTCATACGCGATTGGCTGGAGGCTGTTCCCGAAGTCATGCAACAGTACTGCTCCCACAGCGATGTCGCTAGCGTCGATGACGAGTTCGAACGGATGGTGCGGATCTTCGATGTGAAGTACGAGCGGTGAGCACAAAATATTTTTGAGGGCCGAGAAGGCAGCTTGCTCTTTCTCCCCCCACGTGTACTCAACCCCCTTCTTCAGCAGGTCAGTCAGCGGGGCAGTCAGCTTCGCCATGTCAGGGACGAACCGGCGTACGTAGTTGACGAACCCCGGAAAACTCTGCAACTCGGTCAAGTTGGTCGGCTCGTGCCATGCTTGAATCGTCGCAATATTTTTCGGGTCTATTTCCACTCCTGCAGCTGAATAATGTGTCCCAAAAACTCCAGTCGGTCCTGTAAAAACTCACACTTAGACGCTTTTGTCAGTAGGCGGTTCTCACTCAGTATCTTAAAAACTGCTTCGATGTCCTGCAAGTGCGATGCTCTGTCAGGGCTGTAAATAAGTATGTCGTCCAGATACACGATGACGCACTTATCTAAGAGTGGGCAGTGTCGGAGAAACAGCTCTGCTCGTCATCTGCCTGCATTCTAACTCTCTTCTTCTTCTCTGTTCCTTCAGCTGCCTCAGCCACTCTCTGCCCCCATTGAAAGCGACGTAACTCTCACCTCAAGGGTCCTCCCTGAGTGGTGTGCCACCTGATGCAAAGCTGAGGTAACAACAGTCCACTATATGAAAGGATACCAAACGGAAAGCATCAGAGCTGTGTGAGAGAGTGACTTTACCTGACTTGGGCTCGAGCCGTGCATTTCTCAATGTGCGGCTCGAGCCTAGGTTGGTTTAATCACATTGGTCGCGTGGATTTCCCCCTTGGTGCTTTCCTAACAACCTCGCGTCAACTTCCCTGGTTCCCCACCTACCTACCCTCGAATATGCACACACAACATTGCTACACCCAAACCACACCAGAACTACACCTCGATCTAACTGGCACCGTATATGCACAACCGTGCATATTCGGTGACAGCTGTCGGAGAAACAGCTCTGCTCGTCATCTGCCTGCATTCTAACTCTCTTCTTCTTCTCTGTTCCTTCAGCTGCCTCAGCCACTCTCTGCCCCCTCCTGTGCTCGTGCTTGAGCAGCTCGAGCGCGGGTCACAGGACCAGTACGCTGAGGCCCGGTCCCTCTGATCACGGCTGTGTTCGTCTGATGCTCCCTCAACAGCGCCCCTTTATCGTTTTCCAAGACCAGCACCCCCGAAGGGCGCACCTCCTTGACTTTCCAGCGCACTGTCCCCAATCCCACGTCTAGAGTGTCCTGCTTTGCTTTCTTCAAATAAACTTCCTGCCCTTCCCAGACGCCCCTCGCCGTTCTCCCCTCACTTTTCCGTTGCCGCTGTTCGTATCTCCTGGCATCCCGCAGCTGTGCGGTGTGCAGATTTTCCAGCGCGGCTGGCATCATGTGTCGCATGTAGCGCGCTCTCACCTCTGACAGGGCTACCCAGTTCTTAATCGTGCCCGCTGTCACTGTGTCTGTCAACACCCGCGGTGCCCCCACTGGCAGGATGGGCTCTCGTCCAAAGAGTAGGCTATACGGAGAATGATCCTTCAGCGCTGCCTGCTTCCCAAACCTGTATCCTGCCGCTATCCAGTCCAACTCATCATCCCAATCCCTCTTCCTCTGCTCCCCGTAGGCCCGCAGCCCTCGCTTGAAGGTCTGCACCGCGCGCTCGGTCAGCCCGTCGCTCTGCGGGTGGTAGCGGGAGGTCTTTCGGTGCGTGATGCCAGACTCCTCCAGCAACTTCTTGAACTCTCCTTGGAACTCTGTTCCCTGGTCTGTGAGCACCTCACCGCACGCTCCAAACCAACACACCACCTGTGCCTTGAAGGCTGCTGCAATGTGCCTCGCGCTCTTGCTAGGGATGGCTCGCACCTCCAGCCACTTGCTCACATGTTCCACCATGAACACTATGTACTGATTCCCGCTCCTGCTTAGTGGCAGCTCTCCCGCGAGGTCTAGGGACCATCGGAACCCCAGCCCGCAGATCGGCAGTGAGTGCAGCTCTGATTTGGCCTGCGTCAGGTTTGCTTTGCTCCTCTGACATGCCTCACACCCCTCCACCCACTCCTTCACTTGCCTGCGCATCCCTTCCCACCACCAGCCCGTCTTCAGCAGGTGCACGGTCCTCTCGTGCCCGAAGTGTCCCAGCTTAGTGTGCACTTCCTTGATCACTGCTTCACGGTCCTTGGGCACAGGCACCAGCTTCCAGCCATCCTCCGTCTTGATCTGCAGCTGCTGCTGATACCACCTGTAGTGGTGCCCTCGTGCCCTCACCCTTTCTGACACCGTCTCATCCTCTTCGGTTTCTCCCTTCACCCATTCCATTGCCTTTGCATCCTGCCAGATGTCAGCTGGCCCTTTGCTCCCTTTTGCACCGACCTGCTCCACCTCTCTTGCCAGCAAGATCAAGGTGTGTGCTGGCTCCGGCTCTGTTTCCTCCGTCCCCTGTGCTACCTGTTCTGCTTCCAGCGGCGGCGGGTTGCGGGAGAGACCATCAACGTGCTGCAGCGTCTTCCCCGGCCTGTGCTTGATCTTGAAATCATATTCCTGCAACTTCACTGCCCACCTCGCGTTCCTCCCTGTCAGCCCTGGTGTGGTCATCAGCCATGTGAGGGGCTGATGATCAGTGACAAGGGTGAATTCTCTGCCCTGCAGGTATATCCGGAAATGCCCGACCGCCCACACTGCCGCCAGCCCCTCCCCGATGTATGAGCTGTACTGTGCCTCCGCTGGGTTGCAGCTCCTGCTGGCGTAGGCCACCACCTTCTCCACTCCCTCCACCTCCTGGCATAGTATTGCCCCCATCCCTTGGCTACTCCAGTCGGTGTACAAGATGAAGGGCTGATCTGCTGCTGGCAGCCGCAGCACTGTTGCTGTCTTCACGGCTGTCATGAGGTCTTGCAGCGCCTCTCTCTGCTTTTCTCCCCACTCCCATGCCTTGTCTTCGCGCAGCATCCCGTTCAGCACCGTCGCTCGCTTACTGAAGTTCGGCACGAAGCGCCTGTAGTAGCTGAGGAAGCCCAAGACCGCACGCAGTCCTAATTTGTCTCTCGGTTCCCTTAGCCTGTCCAGCACTTGCACCTTTGCTTGCTGGATCCCAATCTGCCCCCCTGTGACCTCATACCCCAGGTATTGCACTGTCCGCTCCCCCCACTTGCACTTGTTGGGATGGCACGTGAGCCCTGCTCCTTCTATGGCCGTCAGTGTTTTCTCCACATCCTCCAGGTGCTGCTGCTCGGTCAGACTGAAGATCACGACATCATCGA